TCAATCTGATTGAGGTATGTTCGCTGAGGTCGACTGCTGGGGTCCAACCCCAGCAGGTCCAGCGGTCCCCAAAGGTGTGGACGGAGTCGGCGAAGAAGGAATGACACGGAGACAGCCTTCAGTTGATCAGCAGCCTAGTCAGGACCTCTAGCCAGGATCTCCAGCCAAAGTTCTGGTCGGAGTTCTGGTTAGGAACTGATCAGGATCTGATGTTTATTGTCTTGTTACATCTATATTTATACCAGCCGATTTTAATCCTGTCAATTTCTATTACAAAGGTTAGGGCGTTTCTTATCTCCATTCCAGGGAGTAAAGATTATGTAGCTTAACTACCCGCCTGGCACTTAATTAAGGGGTTGTATCCCCTCCCTAACCTCGGGGAAAAATCCCCACCTGGGGAAACAACCTTTCTCGGAGAGGTGACCTTGGTTAAAACACATGGCACTAAGGAGAGCAAACATATTAAGAACAATATGCTATATATGCCAGGTCCCTTGAAACATATGCTGTGCAGATGTTTCTTTCCTGCAGCGACTGTGTCAAGCAGCAAGGATGGACCGGCTTCCAGCAAATTCCCCCTTTTTTGTTTTTTAAATGATAGCGCGTGTAAATCAGTGGCCACCTCTCAGATTGGGCTGTTTAAGACTCGGAAGAACACTGGCAAGCAATGACAATAAGCATAGCTATAAACATAGTGGATGGATTGCATGCCCGCACGTGGTATTTTGTGGAAGAGCCACACTCAAGGGACCAAAGAGCCGCATGTGGCTGACAAGCCGCGGTTTGCTGACCACTGGGATAAGGGAACCCTGGTGAGGCCCCTCAGGCAGGCTCTGGGGGCTCTGAGGTGTCAGTTAGGTGCTAATTTAATGACTGAACCTTTATATGTGCAACTCCTGACCCACTGTATCGGTTGGGGAGGCCAACCGCTATAACAAATGCTCGTAATCTCAGTGGCTTAGCACAGGGAAAGGACATTCTTTGCTCACACAAAGCCCTGGGTGGGTATCCCTATTGGGGTAACTCTCTTGGACAGCCTTCCTCTGAGATCAGTGCTTTATGGGCCTGTCTTGCGCTGCTGATGTCTTCCACGTGGGGCCTCAGTGAAGCAGCAGCCTTGCAGGAAGACAAGAGAGATTAATAATGAAACAACCCTCTTCCCTCTGGCCCCTCAAGCCTCTCCCTATCCCCACCTCTCATCCTGGCACCCCCACATCTAATGGCCACCTTGGACTCTATCCCAGCCAGGTCGGGGGTCATGGGGTCACGGCCATCATTCTCCCCTCAGACCTCTGCTCAAATGGTTGCTCCACCTGCTGGGGACCCTCTCCATGGCCAGCTCAGCTTCTGTTCTCCAAACTGGCCCCCAGTGATCTCCCCTCCTGGTATGTGCAGCCCTGGGTGGCGTGTGGGCTGGGCTTGGTGACTCACATCTAACCAACAGAATAAGGCCGAATGGATGGTGTGCGCCGCAGAGGCTAGATCACACATGGCGGTGTGGCCTCCCAGGACTCACCTGCTCGGTATCATTGGCAGCTCTGTGGAGAGGCCCACATATCGAGGGACAGAAGCCTCCTGCTAACAGCCACGGGGTGCAACCTCGGGAGAGATCTGTGCCAGGATCCTGCAGATTCCTGACCTTCCGAAGTTGTGGGACAATAAACGTTTGTTGTTTAAAGCAGATAAGGTTTGGCATATTTGTCATGCAGCAACAGAGGGCTAATTTAATCACGGCGAGAGGCCAGGTGGTCTGCTCCCTTCCTTCCTGCCCCAGCCCAGTGTCCCCACCAGGAAGCACCCAGTGTGAGCGCATTTATGCAACCTACTCATCTCCCCTGTGGTACCGACTTGCACCAGGTCTGGTGCTGAGTGCTGGGATGAGGCTGAGGCAGTAAGGATATGGTCCTGGTCCTCAGGGGGTTCCCAATCCACGGGGAGACCACTCACCCCTAATGAGCCTGTCCTTTTCACCCCCCAGGTAGCCGCAAAGAGGGGTAACTAACTCAGACGCAGGGCAGTGGGGTGGAGGGCAGGGTTTGAGGGTGAGTGGGTTGTGCTGAGGTTTGATGAAGGTGGTGATCTTTAGGGGGTAAGTAAACTTTTTTTCAATGAAGTTGAATGTTTTATTATTAAACTCTCTTGTTTTCTTGCGAGGTTGCTGTTTCACTGTATAAAAATAGCCCCAGCAAACTCAGTATATTGCAAGATTAAGATAGTATTGTTTGTCACCTGACGCTGTAACGACTAACAAAACTTTTCCCCACTGCCAGTGATTTCCACACCTCCCAAAGCTTCCTGTGCAAAAATGCTGATTTCCACTGTCCCAGCACCATTTCCTGCTGTTATCCATGCATGTCTCTCTGCGAACTCACGCAACATGGAGAGCAGATGGGGGACAGGGCGCAGCGTCAGGATGAGAAGGGCCTCCAATGCCGGGCCGAGGAGGAGTTTAGAGGCATTGGAGACTAGGTTAGGGAGTGGGTTTTGTTTGGGAGAGGACATTGGGCGCCTGCTCTCAGGCCCAGGGCAGCGGGCAGAGGTGGTGAGCTGGCAGCAGGCCCTGTTCGCAGGTGGAGGTGGGGTGGGGGTGGGGGTTCGTGGCACAAGTCCTCGGCCACCCAACTGGCCTGGGGGTGTGTGATGTTGACCAGGAGGAGGAGGAAGTGTGTTCTGGGGAAAGGGACCGGCGTGCTCCAGGGCTCAGCAGGTCTGAGAACCCAGTGCGTTTGGCCAGCAGAGAAGGGTGAGAAGCGAAGGGCACAGGGGGTAATGAGGTGCAGGGGAGAAGGTCTAGGTAAAGTGTGTGTGTGGGGGCGAGGACGAGAAGGGCCTCCAATGCCAGGCCGAGGAGGAGTTTAGAGGCATTGGAGACCAGGTTAGGGAGTGGGTTTTGTTTGGGAGAGGACATTGGTGCTGCGTGTGGGTGGCCGGAGCGCCCTGGAGGCGGGAGTATCAGTGCGTAGTGTTTGCCCGGGGACCACCAGGGCGCTGAGTGTTGTGGCGGAGGAAGGGGAAGCCTGGGAAACCCCCAACTCAACCAGAGGCACGGGGGAGGCTTCCTGGAATAGATGAAACCAGTACTGAAGGGTAAGGAGGAATGACCCAGACAAGGGGGAGGTGGGATGGGAGATGGCATTCCAGGCCGAGGGCACATCATGGGCAAAGCCCAGAGGTGAGAGGAAGAGCATGGCTGACACATGGAAGTGCAATGGTTCAGTCTGAGGAGAGGGAGGGGAGAGATGAGGGCGGGAGGACTGGGCCAGAGGGTGGAGAGTGGCCAAGGGCAGGCTACGGGGCTTGGGCTTTGAGGGGGACACCTTCTGTCTTCTGTTGACCCCTCCACATCCACTGTCCATGGGTGTCCACCTGCTCCTTCCTGGGAGGCCCAGCTGCATGGATGGCAGCCCCAGGCCCTCACGCTTCCAACTGGGTCCAGGCGATAGGAAGCCTTGGCAGGCGATGGAGGGAGGAGAGTGCGGTGGGAATGCTCACCCGGCTCCTTCCCTGCAATCATGGCCCCTGCCCACGACTCTCCTGATCTGGGTGCTGCTGCCTCCACGTGACCTTCCAGGCCTCAGGGTGGCGGTAGTACTCTGCCACCCTCCCGGCCCAGCCTGGCTTAGTGCACCTTCCTGTGTGCATCCCCACACCCCCGACACACCTCAGACATGGTTCTTTTATCCAACCCTCCTCACAAGAATCCCATGTGTCCCAGACCTTTTGTACGGTGACATCGCTGCTCCTCCCATGAAGAGGCGGACTCCATTCCTCTCCCCTGAGGGCTGGTGGCCTTAGGACTTGTTTTGACCGACAATATGCAGTAAAGTGCTGTGTGCACCTGTGCAGCCTAGGACTTAAGAGACTTTGCAACCTTGCTCTCATCCTTTTGCAATCCAGCCCCCATTGAATGCTGAGGGATGGGTCCGTATAGAGAAGGGCCCAGTGCCCACCGGCACAGCGAGGCCCAGCAGGTCTAGCCCCCCAGGTGTCCCAGCCCAGCCGGCCCACCCACCACTGAATGCAGCTGCCTGAGAGCCCAGGCAAGACGGGGTGGGGGGTGGGAGGGGAAGCAGTGAGGCCTCCATGTTCAGCCATTGTGTTCTGCAGTGGTTCATCACCCAGCAGCAGATGACTCCAACGGGTGGGTACTTCTCTCCTTGGCAAGTCTTGCCCTCCTTCAGGGCCCTGCCGCTGCCACTTCCTCCAAGTCTCCCCCTGGCTGGAGATCGTCACTCCCTGCCCTTCACTTCCGTTCCTCCTGTGACCTGTACACACACTTCCTCCCAGGGTAGCAGGCACCCCCATGGGACACAGGGACACTCATCACCTGACTCCTACTTCCACGTGCTCTGTGTCCCTCCCGACAGGAGACGGGGTGGCTTATGATCTCAAAATAGCATCTCATTATGCTCACGACACTGGAGGTGGATATGGTAATCCTCATTTTCCAGATGACAGAACTGAGGTCTGGAGGTGACTGGCCCAGAGTTACTAAAAAGGGATGGGCCAGGATTTGAACCCAAATTTATTTACTTCTCAAAACGCCCCATGTTGTAGCTGTTGGCATGACCTGCTCTTGGGCAGAAAGAGCCTGCTTCCCTGCTGGCGGAAGAGGGGGATTCGCAAGGACTCGTTTTACCCAGCCATCCTGCCCCTGCACACCTGTCCCAAACCCAGAATCCAGATTCTTCCCGCCTGGCATCAGTCCCCATCTCAACCCCCACCCCCCTGCAGACACACACTAACATCCACTCTTCATGTCTGGTCTTCATCCTCTGTCCTGGCCTGCCCTGTGTCTGAACATACCCATTCCCCTCTTTCCCAACAGAACAAGGCCAGAGGTGGTCCGCTTGGGGCCGACAGATCGAAAGGAAGAGTCCACATGACATTCTCTGGTCCAATCTGAGTCCAGAGATTCACCTTCTGGGAAGATGAGACAGGGCCAGGCTGGGGGTCAGATCCCTCTGCATTGGGGCGTGTAGAGGAAGAGAAGGCTAACACAGAGTCCTTTCATTTATTGAATGGGAAGTTCACGGAGCCCCCTTTTTGTGCTAAGGAAGGGGCTGAAGTTACAAAGGACAAGTAGGAGGCACCTCATGGAGCTCTCAGCCTACGTGATGTCAGAGCTGAGACTCGCAGGCCATCTTGTTCAGTCAGGGAAACTGAGGCTCAGAGGGAGGGGGAAAGGCCTGCCAGTGACACGGTGCGGTTCTCCTTACCCCGCTGGGGAGGGAGGAGCTGGGACGTCCAGGGTGCGGGACGAGGGAGCTAGTAGAAGGGGCTGGAGCTGGTGGCTTCTTTTTCTCTGTCATTCAAGGTAGAGGAAGAAAAACCTGGTCTTCAGTTGCTGCTCTCTTTTCTTTGTCCGATGAGTGACATTGCAGCCCTCTCTCCCATTTCCCGGACGAGCAGACCGAGGAGATGGGGACCTGCACGGGTGCCCCAGCGTGAGTCTGGTCGCCCCTCCCACATTGTCAGCTGTGACTTGGGACTGGATTTGCAGGAGGCTTGGAAGACTCTGGAGATAATGTTCAACAGAAGCTTCCAGGAAACCTTCTCAGATCACAGCGCCACCCATGGGCTCCCTAATGCCAGCACTGCCCTTTGGGGCAGCCCCTTCCTCTGGGGAGGCGCTCAGCAGAACTCCAAGTGCTGGTCCTCGGGGACGTTGTACTTGAGCTTGTGGGCTTCAAAGAGGCTGCACAGCTCGTCGATGTAGTGCTGGTGCAGTTGGTCCACCTCCTCCTGCGAGGGGTGTGGTCTCTGCTGCACCTCGATGGGCTTCCCCACTGCAAGACACAGAGGGGGGTGGTGGGCCAGAGCAGGGGCCCTTGGGGCAGGGAAGTGCTCCTACTGCTGTCCCTTTCAACCCTATTTCAAGCGATGAATCCTAAGACGTTAGCGCAACTCCAAGATTCATTCAGATACAATGACAACACCACCAGCTGGCATTGCAAAATGCCTAGAAATGTGCTGGGAGCTTTACATGCGCTGTCCCCTTTAATGCTTGTAACCATCATCTGGGGATAGAACCTGCTCTGATTCCCATCGGTAGATGAGGCAATGAGGTTTAGAGGGGTTAAGTAACTTGCTGAAGGTGGCATGGCCAAGCCCTGGCTGGTTTTGTCCAGTGGTTAGAGTGTCAGCCTGCGCACTGAAGGATCACAGGTTCGATCCCCAGCCTTGGTGGGGTGTGTGCAGGAGGCAACCAATTAATGTTTCTCTCTCACATTGATGTTTCTGTCTCTCTCTCCCTCTCCTTTCTTCTCTGAAATCAATAAAAATATATTAAAAAAAGAAAAGTCAAACAGATCCTGATTCAGACCTCAACTTTGTTACTCGAAGGCAGTGTGACTTTTTAGGAAGTTACTTCTCTGAGCCTGTTTCCCATCAATGAAATAGGGATAATAGTCTCTACCTTGAAGGTTGTCAGGAGAAACAGCCACTGCACATAAGGGAGCCGTGCAGTGCCTGGCACACAGTAGGTGCTCAGTAATCAGTAGCAGCCATTGTTCTTTGTGCCTCTGTTACAGTTCTCATCCCAGACTGCCTCCTGTTGGGGTCGTCTGCTTGTGTGTCTGTTTCAGTCTAGAATGTGAGCTCCGTGAGGACAAAGATGTGTCTGGCCCGTCCCCGTGTCCCCTTGCAGCTCACAGCCCAGGCCCCTTTCCCTGTGAGCGACCCCCTCCCAGCCTGGGTCTTGGCTCACCCACGGTGGTGATGGGCCGGCGGTAGGGTAAAAGGCCGAAGCTGTACTGGAAGACGCCACGGCCGTGGAAGAGCGGGAGGGAAATACCCATGATCTTCTGCAGCCGGTTCTGGATCCAGCGCAACCAGGAGCCAGGCAAGTTCTCAACTTGGTCAAAGAGTTCGTTCTCCCCAAAGGAGAAGACGGGCACCAGAGGCACCCTAGAGAGAGACAGAGGAGAGAAGGCATGTTGGAGGCCCCGAGGAAGGCCCCGGCTGGTCACCTAGCTTCCCGCAGGGACCAGGCATTGGAGCAGAGGACAGAGCCTGGGCCGGAAGTAGGAGGCCTAGGTTGTCTCCCGGACCTGCCAGCGCCTCGCTTTCTGACCTTGGGCAGGTCCTGGCCCCTTCTCAGAGCCACCACCTCCCAGGGGCACCATGACGGAAAGGCTAGAATGCTTCAGAGTCCTCCCAGACAGAAGTCCTCTGCCAGCTTTGCAGAAAAACCTCGCCTGCTCCAGCCAGAGTGCTCCGAGGAAGAGCACAGCCCTGCGATACGCCTCAAACTCCAGTCTCCCACATCCCAGAGGCCTCGGATCCAGTGCCGGCCTTGGGCCATATGTCCCTTCCCACCCAGCCCTTTGGTCCCAAAGTCTCCATTCCGGAACCCTTTCTGGGTGTTTGGCCAGGAGACAGGACTGGTCTCACCACAATAGCATGTGCGTTTGCGAATGGACTGGGAAATCTCCCTGCCCCAATAGGAACTCCGTTAGTCTCTGCTGTCTTCCCACCAAAGTAAATCCCTGATCTCCAGCGGAACCGAGAGCCCTCTTCCCAGATACCCGTGCGTCAGGGCCAGCCTGACGAAGCCCTTGCGGTTCCGCAGCAGCAGCTTGTAGGCCCCAGGCCTGGCGTTCAGGGCCTCCTGGGCACCCCCGATAATGATGCCCAGCAGGTTGCCCCCGCCCTTCCTGTTCAGAATGTGAGCAGCGCACTCCTTGTCCGATGTCACCAGCCCTGGGGAGAGAGGAAGGTGGTCAGTGACGGGGTCAGGGGGCAGGGACCTTGGGGGTGGATGTGGCCCAACACAGAGATCACCAAAAGTGCCCACCGAGGCCTGGTCCCCTCCCCGACCCACTCCAGCTGGGCGTTCCTGAGGACTGGGACTGAGTCTGCCCCCTCATGCCTAAGCCCCTCGCCATGCTCACTGCCCTGCACGGTGCTGTGGGAAGTGCTTCCCTGTGTCTAGCCTCCTTCTTACTGCTCATGCTCTCAGAAGAAGTCCAGAACTACTGGTAGCCCCCCGCCCCCCTCAGATTCCCTCCTCCCAGGCCGCAGCCTCATCTCCCTGGCTGCCCAGGTGCGGAAGACTCACCCCCACACATGAGGTAATCCCGGAAGAAGGGGGCCCGGAACCACAGGTTCAGCATCATCAGGTGGGGGCGGATGCCGGGGAAGAGCTGGGAGAAGCCAGTGCTCTCGGTGCACATGTTGACAAAGACCCCGGCGGCCAGGACCCCGTGGGGGTGGATGGCCGCAAGGTAGTTCCGGGAGGGGTCCAGCTCAGCAGTCTTGACCAGCTGTAGGGACACAACCTAGTGAGCCAGAGCTGGACCTGCGTCCCCACTTTGATCCTGACGCTCTCCGGGGTGACCTTAGGCAAGTCTCTGCCCAGCTCTGAGCCTCTGGCTCTCAGGAAGATTGAGATGCGGTGTGAGTGCACCTGGGGTGTCTCCAGGTGCCGGCTGTGCTCAGACTTGCAGCGGGCTCTGGGCAAACTGCTTCCCTCCCAGGCTTTTCATCTGTAAAGGGGGGACGTTTGGCCCTGTCTCCCCTCCCTCCCAGGACTGCTGAGAAGTTCAGGTCTGAGGGTGCCCTGCCATGACCAAGACTGCTCCCTGACAGGATAGAATTGGAAGACATCAGATGGCCACACGGGGGCGCCATGCCGGAATACCCCATTTCACAAAACTCCATTTAAGAAAATTGGCACTTAAGACCAGGGAATGAGCCTTTGCAGGATATATTGGGAGAGGATTCCTGTTCGGTTGCAGACCAGGAGGCCAGCTCCAGTCCTCTTTACCCCTCGCGTCTCACCCGTGGCTCTCTGCTCCCCTCACGGCGGCTCTGCTGGCACAGGAACTTGCCTGGGTCTGCTCGGGCCTGCAGCCTGCAGGGTGCAGCAGGGACCCCGGGCATTGTAGATTGAGTGGGAGAGGAGAGCCGTTTGTCATTAGCAGTTTCCAGGTGAAGTGGGGTGAGTGGAGGGGGCTGGATCTGAGTTAACAAATGCTGCTCCTGCCGGTTACTGACCAGGCTGCGTCTGCCAAGCTTTTTGCTGTGGGCAGTGACTGTGTGTAACTGCAGGGCCCACCCCAGTGTCCCACTTTCTGGGAGCCACGGCCATCAGAGTTAGACGGCCCTGAAGCCCACGTGTACTCCTCCGCACCCCCCAACCCCCCCAAGAGGCTCCCTGATAGGACTGCCAGGGCCCTGCAGTTTGCATTACCGGATTGGGGTGAGGAGAGCCCTTTCCACTGTGGCTCAGCTTTGCTAGGGTGAAAGTTCATCCTGTCACCAAGCTGAAACTCTCAGCAGGTGATGCCCTGAGGGTTCTTATTGCTGCACTTGAGGCCCCAGAGGCCATGCTGTCCACCCTCGGAGCAGCCTGCAGGGATCTGGGGACAGCAACGGGGATCTGGGCCTCTCTGCTTCCTCCAGCTTCTCCTGTCCCTGACCTGGACTTGGTCTCTGCACCCACACCCTGCCTCTCCCCCGCACCACAGTGTGCCCTCCGGGTGATCACTGACCCTTTGCAAAAAGGCTGCAGGGACCATTGCCTCCCAGACAAGGACAAAGCTCTTCCACTCAGGCAGTGGGAATCTATTGGATGTCGAAATAGACATAGAACCAGAGATTTCTCCCCACCTCACTGGGAAAGGTGCTCCTCAGGAGCCCAGTTGGCGGTGTTTCTTTAAGGACATCCCTCGCTTCCTGCACTCAACTCCTTTCTTATACACCTTCTTGCTCACCTGGTGGGAAGGTAATTTGTACAACCTCCATGAAGGTGATTTGGCAATATCTATCACAACCAAAAAAATGTAACTGACCTTTCTACCCAGCAACTCCACTGCTGAGGAATTTAGCTACAGGGTTTCTCATGCTTGTGCAACATGACATCTGAACAAGATCTTAGCTGGAGCATCATCGTTTTTTGGTAACAGCACAAACTTGGCACCCGTCCACCCAACTGTCCATCAGCAGGGCCCCTTTAGACAAATCCTGAGACGTTTACACAATGGACCTCTGTGCAGCCATAGAGCAGTGTGGCACAGCTCCTCCTGTCCCGAGAGGGGAAGCTGGCCACAACTGGCTGTCAGACGCAACAGCCAGGGGCAAGACGATGCTTGCAGACCGCCACCAGCATGTGCTTGTATGTGGAGGCACCAAACACTGGTTGTCACAGTTGCCTCTGGGGAAAGAACTAGGGAGACGGGATGAGTCCCTTTGGAATTTTGAACCAGAATGTATTACCTACTTTAAATGAATAATGAAGGACACGAGCAAAATAAATCAACAAATAGCTGGATGATTATCCCCTTAATAATAAGTCTTTGTGTAGAGAGAGCTGTCCTGGTGAGTGTGAGGGCCTTGTCTAGGCAACTGTGCCAGTACCTGCTCGTGCATCTACACGTGCGTGTCGGGGTGTGTGCACTGAGGGGGCGTCGCTATTCCACTGAGACTGGTCTGCTGACTTTCTGGGCTGACCTCTTCCATCTGCCCCCTGTGCCCAGGGTATCCCGCCATCACAGCGAGGGCCTGGAGATTAGCGACCGCCCAGTGAGGCATCACTGTATCCCGGATGCAGGCCTGAATCAGAGGAGATGCTCCCTGGGCGATTGAAAGGAAGGAAGGAAAGAATGAGACCATGAACGGATGAGGCTGATGCAGCCAACCCCTGCCCTGATCCTGTTCTGACGTGTCATCTGGGTTCCACTGAGCCGGAAGTCATGAGACCCAAGTCCTGCCCCTGGCCCATCACATGACCTTTGCCCAGCCCTGCCTCAGTTTCCCCTCTGTCCCCAGGACAGTGATGATGCCTTTCTGGCAAGGTTGCTACTTGGTTCAGGTGTGCTAAACACAGAGAAGGAAGGTTTGTAAAGGGTTGTGTTCTCTGCTTGCTCCCTCAGTTCTCTTCGGGGCAGGGAGTGTGACCAAGCAAACAAGGCTGGCGGGGGAAAGCCCCTTCATGGGCGCATGTCCTCCCAGGCTGGGCTTGGCACCAGGCAGTGGCAGCTGGGGAAGGGCACGGCCAGGTTACTAGGCTCTGGGGGTTGCTTTTCTTTATTTATATAGTTCAGATACCATCAAATTTACCTTTTGAAAGTGTGTAACTCAGTGATTTTAATATGTTTAAAAGGTCGGCAACCATCACCATTTCTAATTCTAGAGCATTTTCAACACCCCAGGAAGAAACCCAGAGCGGTCACTTCTCCTTCCCCCAGCCCCTGGCAGCCACTGTTGTCTGTCTCTATGGAGTTGCCTCTCCTGGAAATTTCATATAAATGGAATCATTCAATATGTGGCCTTTTATGTCTGTCTTCTTGTACTTCACGGAATGTTTTCCAGGTTCATCAATGTTGAAGGCTGCATCAGTACTCCGTTCCTTTTTATGACTGAATGCTATTCTATTGTATGGATAGACTATATTTTCTTTGTCCACTTAATGGTCTCTGGCCATTTCCGATGGTGTGACATGAACACTTGTGTACACGTCCCGGCGCAAACATGTTTTCAGTTCTCCCAGGGGTGTTCCTACTCTGAATCCCAAGACCTTTGCCTAGTAGACCCTGCACAGGCCACAGGAGAGGATGACTGGACCTAGGCTGGGAGGGAGGACAGTGAGGGGCCGTGGCTCTACCATGTCTGCCCAGACCCATCTCTTTTTCTTTAATTAAAATATTTTTATTGAATTCAGAGAAGAAAGGAAAGGGAAAGAGAGATAGAAACATCAGTGATGTGAGAGAATCATTGATCAATCGGCTGCCTCTGGGGATCAAACCCACAACCCAGGCATGTGTCCTGACCAGGAATCGAACCATTATCTCCTGGTTCACAGGTCGATGCTCAACCACTGAGCCACGCCAGCCAGGCTGGTGTTTTTTTTTGTTTTGTTTTGTTTTTTAACATTTTAAAAGTCCAGATAGAAAGATAACTGTGGCCAGGACTTAGATCGTTGGGAGGAGAGAAGGGTCATATCTGGAGGAGTCTGGGAGACACACCCCACCCAGGCTCTAGAGCAGCAGTTCTCAACCAGGGTCAGTTGCCCAGCCCCTCTCCCCGCAGAGGGGACATTTGGGAATGTTTGCAGACATTTTTTGTTGTTACAACTGGTGGAGGGGTGTGTTACTGGCATCTAGTGGGTAGGGACCCAGGATGAAGTCAGAAATCAGAAATCCCTCCCTGCCCCATATACACACACACAACAGAGACTCATTCAACCCAAAATGTCAATAGTGCTGAGAAAGCCGCCTTGAGAGCTACCTGGCTGGAGGAGGGAATGGCAGCAAAGGTAGTGGAGTCAACAGGAATGGAGGCCCCCAATCCCTGCAGGGCAGCCGTAGGGCTGAGGGGACAGCTGTTCTCTGCGCCCGGTCCCTGTGCCACGGCAGAGGTAGGACTCCTGGGAGGGTCCCAGGAGACAGGCCCCATCTCCTTGTGAAGGAAGATCTCAGAGGCAGAGCCCTCCCACCGTGAAAGGAGCATCGAAGAAGGACATGAGTGCCCGTCCCAAGCCTGAGTGAGCTGGAGTTCTATCCTGGGTGGGCGGCCAGGCACCGGAGTCTCTCTGACTTAGGTTAAGAGACCTCAGTGTGCTGGGAGGTGGCTGAGCTGGGAGTTGGGGCAGGAAGTCCCTAGTGATGCCTGCAGGGCTGTGGAGGAGCTGAGGGATGATCCCAGGTGTGGGTGGGAGGGGTGATCTCCCACACTGCAGCTGTCCCTGACATCAGGTCACAGCCCTGGCCACAGAGGTCTGTGTGCTAGACTCCTCCAGACCTGTCCCTCCTCAGGCCCTGGCCTTGTGGACAGTGTTTGCTCTGGGATGAGGAAATCCGCACAGGGAAACCCAGCTCCCAGGCACTGGTCCTCATCAGGAGGTGGACAGCTCCTCCCACAGCAAACATGGCCTGGCTCTCCATCGTGAGCTTCTTAGGAAGCCCATACGGTGAGTTTAGAAAAGTCCAGGGCCCAGACACAGTTTCCTAATTTTGCCTGAAATTCCGCCACTAGACGCTAATTCAAAAAATCAGTAAGAACTGGTAGGAGCTCAGAAATCCGCATGTATTTGATGTGACTGCAGAGGCTTATGAATGCGGGTTGGAGGGGAGGGGGAGCTCCAGCAGAGCTGGGACCCCCTACCTCCTGCTCACCCCAAGGTCCTCTCAGAGAGAGTTGGAGGGCTTCCAGGAAGCCTACAGGGAGGAGAATCTGGAGGCCACAGCCCTACCCCTACAGGTTCCCAGCCTAGACAGGCAAAGTAAAAGTGCGTGTCATCTCGCCCTCTGCTGGCCACCTGGTGGTACTGCCAGCCCTCTGCAGGCGGTGATGCAACAGGCCTGCAGGGGGCATCAATCCTGAAACACTATGCAAGCAGAATTTCTGCAAAGCAAGCCCACTGTCCCACCATTGTCAATAGTGCCCAGATTGAGAAACCCTCCTTGAGAGCTACCTGGCCGGGGTAGGATAGGCTCAGAGCCACCTCAGCATCATTTTCTGCCAGACCTGCAACTGGCAGCAGCTCCAGGTGCAAAGAGCCAGATGCTATCCTTGGTGGGCCCTTGGATGACAGCCCCCTGGAGAATTTTCAGTTGAGGAGTCCCAGTTCTGTAAGATGGTCTTCCGTGGCCTCTGTTCCCTTGTCCCTGAGAAAGTCTTTAACCTCATCCCCAGGTGACCTTCTGCTTCATTCACACTGAACATCAGGCGCATTGCTCAGAAGCCATACTGCAGCCTACGTCTGTGCTAACGCGTTTCTTTCCCTGGCGAACTCAGGGTTTGATAGTGACAGGAATAGAATGTGGGGGAACCAGCTATAATTGTCAGGAATATTAATCATGCTCTGTTAACCGCGATTGTTTTATTCTGATTAAGGAAGGCACAGTCTACCCTGGCTGACAGCTGTACTCGGGAATTGGGAGCTCACCGGGAAATGAAGCCCTTCCTCCCCATTTGGGAGCTGCCTATTATCAGAAGATTAACATCCTGTTGCAGAAACCAGAATCGCAGCCCGAAGATCCCCAGCCCTTTGTATGCCTGTAAACAGTCCATTTGCCCTTTCTGCTACTTCCCCATGGAATCTCTGTCCTTCTACCCAATATAAGCAGCTGGTTTATGGTGGGGGGCAGAGCAGATTTTTGTGGATGACCTGCTGCTCTCCCATGCTGCTGGCAGTACTGGAATAAACGGTCATATATGATGCAACCCTATCAATTGGCTCAAGTAGTGACAGGAAGCACGGACCCATTGCTTGTCCAGCTACAGACTCAGCTCACAGTGGGAGGGGAGACCACAGAGTGAGAGTCCACTAAGCTCCACCAGAGGCCAGAACCTGCTTAAGGTTTCTTTGGCTTGGAAGCTGCTGTCCACACTTTCCCACGGGAACTCTGATCTTCCTGGAACTGGAGAGCAAGCCCTGGCCTGGGAGGAGGAGAGGGAGGGAAGGGAATTCAGATCTAAAGCTCAGAAATCCTGAGTGGGGATAAGGGAGTCTGCCCATGATGTGCCCATGGCTCCTTTTAGGACTCAGCAAGCCCTGCTTGCCTTTTTTAAAAATTAATATATTTTATTGATTTTACAGAGAAGAAGGGAGAAAGGGAGTCTCCCCACGATGTGCGCATGGCTCCTTTTAGGACCCAGCAAGCCCTGCTTGCCTTTTTTAAAAAATTAATATATTTTCTTGATTTTACAGAGAAGAAGGGAGAGGGATAGAGAGTTAGAAACATCAATGAGAGAGAAACATCGATCAGCTGCCTCCCGCACGCCCCCCACTGGGGATGTGCCCGCAAGCAAGGTACATGCCCTTGACCGGAATCGAACCCGGGACCCTTCAGTCCGCAGGCCGACGCTCTATCCACTGACCTAAACCAGCCAGGGCCCCTGCTTGCCTTTGGTGACAATATCCTGGAAGGGCACACTGCAGAGGAAGTGGATGTAAGGGGTGAGGAAGATCACCCCCACCTGGCCCCCTCAGGTTAGCTCAGCACTGCCCCCTCACTCTGCTTTTCAACATGAGCATGGAAGTCTCTGCTGGCCAACCTGCCCTCTGCCCAGCCCCTGCCCTGCTGCCCTGCCCTGCCCACCCTTGTCCTTTGCCCAGGAGGAACTTCTTACTGGAATACTAGGGGCTCCTGTACCCCAGTTGTTGTCCAGCCTTTGCTAGTCCTTGTTGGGCCTCAGGACTCTTGGAAGCGATGCAGGAGTGCTGACTGCCGCTGACTGCTTAACCTCAGGGAGCCCGTTTCCTCCCCTCCTGTCCCCTTTATCAGCTGGAGAACAGACTCCTGGAGGGACAGGAAGAGGTGGGGATCTGGATGGAGGAGGAGAAGCCAAGCAGTTGTAAAGGTCAAAGCAACATGGCTCTGGGCTATCAGACTTGCAGCCACGCCTACACCTCCCAGACTCCGCACTGACTCGGTAAAATAATCCTGCCACCGGTTTACTGAGAACCTACAAGGCACTTTACCCCCTGTCTCATTGAACCCCAGGATGCAGCCCAGTGACGTATGTGGCATCATCTCCACATCACCCGTGCGGGAACTGAGGCTCAGAGAGACTGTGACTCACCCAAGGTCACACAGCTGGTGGGTGGCGGAACTGGTATTAGAACCTAGTCCGTCTAGTTCCAGAGACCACATTCTATACCTTTTATTTTTCTTTACTGTTTCCAGAGAAGAGCCAACTGTCCCTGCCTGGCACCTCTCTGGGTTCCCTTGTCTTCCCGATCCTATCTCATCTGGCCAATGCAACAGCCCTGCCCAGCTGCTTACATCCAGGGTTGCGTCTGTCGGGGGCTCAGTAAAGAAGCTGAAGGGTCTGTGAATCCAGGGATGTGCTTCACTCAGGACTAATCTTTGGGTCCAGGGTCAATTGTTCAGAATGGTCGTGAGGTGCCTTGAGTCAGAGATTCAAGGCACTCAGAGTAGGAGAGATCAGTCTGCTTACTGGGTACAGGGGAAACTGAGGTTCAGAATGGGGCAAGGCCCAACCCAAGGACACACTAGCATAGCATACCAGAGTTAGGAGCAGGAGAGAACCCGAGGACCAGTTCGCTCCCCTTCTCCTTTACCCATAGTTAATGCACAAACCTTAAAACCAGTAAAAACAAAACAAAAACTTGTTGTGTGGCCTTGGTCATACCTTTGTCCCTCTGGGTGTCAGTGTGTCATCTGATGAAATGTGGAGTAGATGGTCTCTTAGGACCTTGAGTTTATTATTTCCCTCCACCCAAGCCCGGGCTGCAGAGGGGTTTACACCTACAACATACACATGTGGGCCACACGCTATGCCCCACGGAGCTCTTTCAAATCCTGTGCATTCATCAGCCCTCATAGTGGCTGCACATGCCCATGTATGGGAAACCATGGCCGGACTCTTCCCCATGGTCCACAGTGGTGGTGGCCCTGGCTCTTCTCACTTCACACAGGGCCCCACTTTCCCCATGGAGAAGTGGGACACTTTAGCCCTGGCCACACCCAAGCCAGCCCTCATACTCACCGAGATGGGGAAATAGTCCTTCATGTACTTCCACACGACGCTGCGTCTCAGGACCTCGGCGCGCCTGCCGCCCTTCCATGGCGTGTCTCGGTCCAGGTACCACCAAGTTGCATACAGGACACTTAGGAACCAGAATCTGGTGAACAGGAGGCCTATGAAGACTATAATGCAGGTCTGAGCTGGGGAGAGAAGCAGGTGAGAGGTCTGAGAGGAAGGAAATGCCCAGTACCAGCAGCACTGGCCGGTCCAGCCCACAGCCCCAGGAAGAAGAGATCAGCTTCACAGGCCTTCAAAGAGGAGAAATGCAGCCAGCCCAACGTCACACTGGAGCGTGGATTTTAACCTGCGTAGGCTTAACTCCAAAACTCACCGCCCCCACTACACCAGGATGCTTATTCACTTGGGTCTTCCCCTCCACCTCCCTCCCTCCAGTAAAGTATAGTTGACCCTTGAACTTCATGGGCTCATTTATATACAGATTTTTCCCCATAAATACAGTACAGTACTATTAATGTGTTTTCTCTTCCTTACGATTTTCTTAATTACATTTCCTTTTCTCTAGCTTATTTTATTGTAAGAATACGGTATATGATACATAGAAGGTACAAAATATGTATTGACTGTTTAAGTTATCTGTAAGGCTCTGGTCAACAATAAGCTATAGGTAGTTAAGTTTTGGGGGAAGTCGAAAGTTATACATGGCTTTTCGACAGCACAGGGGGTTGGCGCCCTAACCCCCATATTGTTCCAGGGCCAACTGCAATCTGCGTTCACCAGGTTCTCCATAAATGCCTGGCGGAGAACTGACTGCATTAACTGCTTTTAGTTTCCATATTTTGGGACCTCAGAGAACAAGGAGACACTCTGTGTGCCCAGTCCTCTGTCTGTCCCCGCTCTGCCCCATCTTCCCAAAGACACACCCGGCAAGCGCCCCCCTCCCCCCAATGAAACCTCCCATGGTTTCTCCGTAACTTCAAGGCACAGCCCAAGCAGCTCGGCTTTGTGTGGCTGGCCCAACCCCCCTCCTGCTCCAGCCTCACCGCCCGCCCGTGTTCACACCCAGGAACACTGAACTGCTCACTGAGACCTTTCAGTCTCTTAGCTTTTGCTCTTGCTGCTTTCTGCCTGCATGCTCTTTCCTGGTGAAGGAGAAACGTCCCCACTTCCCTTCAACATTGTACCAGAGGCTCTGGCCAGTGCCACAGGCAAGAAAAATGAATGAACGCCTGGAGGGACCTGGAGAGCATTATGCTTAGCAAAATGAGCCAGTCAGAGAAAGACAAGTATCACATGATCTCACTCATATGTGGAATCTAATGAACAAAATAAACGGATGAATGGAATGGATCCAGAGACTGGAAGCACAGAACAGACTGCGGAATCTCGAAGGGAAGGTGGGGAAGGGTGGGTCGGTTAGAGGTAATCAATCAAAGAACTTGTATGCATAACCAGGGACACAGCCAATAGGGTGGTGAAGGCCTGGGACGAGGGGGGTCCACCCAAGCCCGGGCTGCAGAGGGGTTTACACCTACAACATACACATGTGGGCCACACGCTATGCCCCACGGAGCTCTTTCAAATCCTGTGCATTCATCAGCCCTCATACAGGCTGCACATGCCCATGTATGGGAAACCATGGCTGGACTCTTCCCCATGGTCCACAGTGGTGGTAGCCCTGGCTCTTCTCACTTCACACAGGGCCCCACTTTCCCCATGGAGAAGTGGGACACTTTAGCCCTGGCCACACCCAAGCCAGCCCTCATACTCACCGAGATGGGGAAATAGTCCTTCATGTACTTCCACACGACGCTGCGTCTCAGGACCTCGGCGCGCCTGCCGCCCTTCCATGGCGTGTCTCGGTCCAGGTACCACCAAGTTGCATACAGGACACTTAGGAACCAGAATCTGGTGAACAGGAGGCCTATGAAGACTATAATGCAGGTCTGAGCTGGGGAGAGAAGCAGGTGAGAGGTCTGAGAGGAAGGAAATGCCCAGTACCAGCAGCACTGGCCGGTCCAGCCCACAGCCCCAGGAAGAAGAGATCAGCTTCACAGGCCTTCAAAGAGGAGAAATGCAGCCAGCCCAACGTCACACTGGAGCGTGGATTTTAACCTGCGTAGGCTTAACTCCAAAACTCACCGCCCCCACTACACCAGGATGCTTATTCACTTGGGTCTTCCCCTCCACCTCCCTCCCTCCAGTAAAGTATAGTTGACCCTTGAACTTCATGGGTCCATTTATATACAGATTTTTTCCCATAAATACAGTACAGTACTATTAATGTGTTTTCTTTTCCTTACGATTTTCTTAATTACATTTCCTTTTCTCTAGCTTATTTTATTGTAAGAATACGGTATATGATACATAGAAGGTACAAAATATGTATTGACTGTTTAAGTTATCTGTAAGGCTCTGGTCAACAATAAGCTATAGGTAGTTAAGTTTTGGGGGAAGTCGAAAGTTATACATGGCTTTTCGACAGCACAGGGGGTTGGCGCCCTAACCCCCATATTGTTCCAGGGCCAACTGCAGTCTGCGTTCACCAGGTTCTCCATAAATGCCTGGCGGAGAACTGACTGCATTAACTGCTTTTAGTTTCCATATTTTGGGACCTCAGAGAACAAGGAGACACTCTGTGTGCCCAGTCCTCTGTCTGTCCCCGCTCTGCCCCATCTTCCCAAAGACACACCCGGCAAGCGCCCCCCTCCCCCCAATGAAACCTCCCATGGTTTCTCCGTAACTTCAAGGCACAGCCCAAGCAGCTCGGCTTTGTGTGGCTGGCCCAACCCCCCTCCTGCTCCAGCCTCACCGCCCGCCCGTGTTCACACCCAGGAACACTGAACTGCTCACTGAGACCTTTCAGTCTCTTAGCTTTTGCTCTTGCTGCTTTCTGCCTGCATGCTCTTTCCTGGTGAAGGAGAAACGTCCCCACTTCCCTTCAACATTGTACCAGAGGCTCTGGCCAGTGCCACAGGCAAGAAAAATGAATGAACGCCTGGAGGGACCTGGAGAGCATTATGCTTAGCAAAATGAGCCAGTCAGAGAAAGACAAGTATCACATGATCTCACTCATATGTGGAATCTAATGAACAAAATAAACGGATGAATGGAATGGATCCAGAGACTGGAAGCACAGAACAGACTGCGGAATCTCGAAGGGAAGGTGGGGAAGGGTGGGTCGGTTAGAGGTAATCAATCAAAGAACTTGTATGCATAACCAGGGACACAGCCAATAGGGTGGTGAAGGCCTGGGACGAGGGGGG